CTTTGAGTCTGGATGAGCTGAGTCCCAGTTGTTGAGTTGTGGTACATTTTAATCTGGTTGCCATTTCATAATTTTAAATGTGTCATGTTGCTTTGTGCAATGGTTCTGTGTCTCTTGCTGACTTTTTTATATTTTTTTAGACTGGCCAGAATTACTTTGTTGTATTAGATGGTCGTAGAATGTTATAAATAGAAAGATAAATAAATGAAGAGTTGCTTTTGTCAAATCTGGAAGGAAGACGCAACATTCTCTTCATTAGATGAGTCTAATTATCTGGTTGCATGTAACAACTATCTGCAGTCTTAGTGACAAATTAGCTGGAAAAGCATCACTTAAAACCGAATCATTTCTTGGAATACAAGTGCCTTGAAACCTGGTTGTGCTTTCCTCCCACGCCAAGCTGTTTTCAGCTGTTGTTGCATTTTTAAAAATATTTTGTTTCCAATTTTGGAATTGCCTAAGAGATGAAAATGAGTGTTAGCGGGGTTTTGTTGACTAGGAGGTCTGCTTGGGATGCCTTCCTGTGCTCTAGGGCAGCGGCACCCAACCTTTTGGGCCTTGTTCTGTGGAGAGGGATCTTGTTCTGTGGAGAGAGGTTTTTCCGTGGACTGGAGGGAGTATGGTTTCATGTGCTGCCTACATCCCACTGTTGGGGCATGGCTTGTTTGTGTGGCCCAGTTTCTGTCATGCCACAGACCGGGGACTGAGGACCCCTGCCTTATTTTTTTTTTTTAATTTGATTTATATGCCGCCCTTCTCCGAAGACTCAGGGCGGCTTACAATGTGCTCAGCAATAGCCTTCATCCTTTTGTATATTTATACAAAGTCAGCTTATTGCCCCCACAAACTGGGTCCTCATTTCACCTACCTTAGAAAGGATGGAAGGCTGAGTCAACCTTGAGCCTTGGCGAGATTCGAACCCTGCAGTAATTGCAGGCAGCTGGTCTTAATAAGCTTAATAACAGGGTGCCTTAAACCCCTGTACTACCAAGGCTTAGAACATTAAGGCTGAATACTACAGCAAGTTCTAATAGCCAACATTTTTATATAGGGAAAAAAATGAATAAATCAACTCATCCTTTCCCTTTGACTTTTTCTTTTGCTCTTCCTATCTTCTTTTTTTCCTTAGTGCTGAACTTATATAGATAATTTAAGCATCGGTCCTGTGTTGAGTTGTTCAGCTTCTTCTGCATTGTGATCTACATCATTCTTTATTTGCAAAGCAATACTTGCAGGCAGCAGTAATAAATCAATTAATGACTCTGATGAATCATTTAATGGCTGACAAAATACCACTAAAGCCAACAGCTTGGATCTCTATAGCAGTACCAGAAGATGCTGGTTGACTCAGAGCTGGGAGATGAAACAGCGACTGTTAGCTCAATTAGCACAATTAGTGTGCGATTTAAAGGCTTAGACGGCATCTGCTGGAGTATACCAAGCCGGTGTGTTGACTGCATGTCTCCGTTTGGAGGCTGAACTCATCCATCCAGGTTTTCATTGTCTTCCATGCCAGTTTGATTTTTAAAATATCGTCAGTGAGTATCGGGAACCATTCAGTGGTGGACTTTGCAATTAGAACAAAAGTTATAACAGTCTGAACCTTGTTTCCTATTCTGCAGGAATCTGTCAGACTTCCCACATGTGCAGATGCTAAACTGTATCCCAGGCTAATGACATTTCCCACAAGTATAGTAACTCCACCAGGTGTGCCGATTGCAATCACAGCTCAGGTTTTAGGGCACCACATTAATAAACAATGCAACTATTTGTTGGGCTTGCTTGGCCATTTCGGTATTAGTTTGACCTATGAGCGATGCAAATGAGTTTTGAAGATGTTGCTAATAATACACTGATGCATTAAAATGTACCTAATAGTGCTGAAGAATTATAGAAGTGTTACTATATAACACATTCCTGATTCTACTCCATTAGCCTTTAATTTGTAGATTATGAGCATGCCCTAACTGAAACTTTAAATGCACTGTATTTCTGGAACATAAGGAGGGAGTCCATAACAAAGCTACAGAATCCCTTCCCTTCATCATCAGTAGTTTTCAAGGCTGCTATTTATCTTACCATGTTGTGTGAACCTACGCAGATATTTAGTTTCTCAAGGGTAAGAGTAAGGAGGAAATCAGTGGCCCCAGCAGCCTTTCCTGTTACTAGGCTAGCTGGGGTTGTTAAGAGTCTATTTCCGCAACATTTGAAGAGCCACAGATTTCCCCCACCCCTGTTTTTTGGGGGAAACTCATTAAGGTAGTGTTTGGGCATCTTCATTTTAGTTTTAGTAGTATGTAGTTTTTTTTAAATGAACTTTTGTTTTTAGAAAAACAAAAGGTTTACACAAGGTTTTCCCTGTTGTAGACAAATGAATTGCAATTGTATACCACCTATGACACAGTGTAACTTTATAGCAAGGAAGTTCATCACTGTTGATGTAGTTAATTTTGTGGATAATTATGTTAGATGTCCTGCAAATACAGGCAGTCCTTGACTTAGAACAGTTCATTTGGTGACCATTCAAAGTTACAACAGCACTGAAAAAAGTGACTTATGATCATTTTTCACATTTACGACTGTTGCTACATCTCCGTGGTCATGTGATCAAATTTCAGCCACTCAGCCACTGACTCATATTTATGACGGTTGCAGTGTCCCAGGGATCATATGATCACTTTTTTACGACCTTCTGATAAGCAAAGTCAACGGGGAAGCCAGATTCATTTAACAACCGTGTTACTCATTTAACAACTGCAGCTATTTGCTTAACAAGTGTGGTAAGAAAAGTGGTCGTAAAATGGGGCAAAATTCACTTAACTGTCTTGCTGAGCAACAGAAATGTTGGGCTCAGTTGTGGTCGTAAGAGAAGGACTACCTGAAAAAGTTTCAAGTAAAAGTAATCTTCCTTTTCCATACAACGGTGTATGGATATGTATTTGTGGGTAAGAATGAGAATGCTATATATCAAACGAATAAGCAGCATGAGGAAGTTGGCAAAGCATTTTGAGAGTAACTAGATAAGTAGAAACCACATGTGTAACTAAGCTGATAATGATCATAGAGGCACAGAAGTCTTGCTAATTGTATTTAGCTACTTAACTAACAGTCTTTATCTTGCATACAATATAATGAAGAAATGCAGGAGAGGATCTTATTGGACTACTGATTTTATTAAATAGAAAATAATGTATGCACCTATACTCTTCAACCACTATTGTGACTATCATTTGGGCATCTTCCCCATTTAACATTTCTTCTTTATAGAGTTGACTTCTCTTCCCTCTCCCACGCACTATATATATATATATATATATATATATATATATATATATATATATATATTCATTTCTTTATTGGATTTATTCATAGGGGAAATTTTTTTTAATTAGGAAGTGAGAGAAAAATATAAATAATAATTTAACTAATTACTTCTTGTAACCTGAATTCTGTGCCTAGGTTTTCCTCTACCTTGGCCCAGGGATCACCACCCTTTATTCACCTTTACAGAACTCTGGGAATTTTTTTTAGATACTGGCCCAGATAGTAGGAAGTCTTTTAGTGCTTCTAAAATTTATTTGCTTTCTTGATATCCTGACTCTTGTATAAACCTCAGAAACAGATACGCCCTGTTAAGTAATATGATAAATATAGATAGTAGAGAGAAAAACATTGAAGACTCTTCTATTTCTCAAGAGCAAGGAAATACTAATTTTATTTATTTATTTATTTGTTGAACTTATATTGCCACCTATTCTCCCATGGCTACTCAAGGCGGCTTACAGAATATAAAACCACATTTAAAACAATAAAAACTAACAAAAAGAATCAAATAAATTAATATAGGACAACATAACAAAATCACCTGCCATCTCCCACCCCCCACCCCAGCGACAGCAGATCACAGGAGCCATTTAATGGGCTCCATCCTGCTCTGGGTTCCCAAAGTCCGCTGGCAGAACCAGGTCTTCAGCGCCTTCCGGAAAAGTATTAGAGTGGGGGCCATTCTAATCTCTGGGGCAATGATGTTCCAGAGAAAGGGAGCCACCACAGAGAAGGCCTTCTTCTGGGTCCCACCAGGTGTATCTCCCTCAGGGATGGAACCCGCAACATTCCCTGGCTCCCCGCTCTGATGGGTCGGGTAGATGTGACCAGCAAGAGACAGTCCCTCAGATAACCTGGTCCCAAGCCATGAAGGGCTTTAAAGGTGACAACCAGCACCTTGAATTGCACCCACAAGCAAATCGGCAACCAATGCAGCTCCCGCCAGAGAGGTAATACATGTGCACACCAGGATCTGCACAAAATCATGCGGGCTGCTGCATTTTGCACCAACTGGAGCTTCCAGATGCTCTTCAAGGGCAACCCCATGTAAAGCATGTTGCAATAGTCAAGATGGGAAGTGACTAATGATGTCACTGCACATGTGATTGACCCACTGTTGGTCCATTCTGGAGAGAAGCCCTACCTGGTAGAAGTCCAAAGAGTAACAAGCAAGTAGAAATGTTAGATTGTAAGAAACAGTTTACAGCTAGCCTGGCTGAAGTCTCCTGATACTGCACCCTGTAGTGTTATTTAAGGTAAGAATAGTTTGCACCTGAGTTGCAGAAAGTTCCCTGAACTCACCAGCTATGTTCTTTCTATCACAGATGAGCTACTATGGGGAGGATGAAACCAAGGAGGGTTGTTACAGAGAGAGACAATGCCACACGGCAGGCTTCTAAATAATTTATCAAGTCTGGTAGATACAATTCTTCCCTTGCATTCTGTTCAGGGCACTGTGGATACTTTAATTATTAACTTCCAGCCAAGTGTCACAATGTGTATGTCAAATTGACATGTGCGTATCTTGGAAAAAAAAAATAACTCCATGATTTGATGGGAAGTATGCCTGGGCCAGAAGAGCTTTGCATAGTACCCGGCATTCCAATTGGCAACTGTGAAGGGCATTCCAGGCCAGCCAGGAAATGTAACAGATGTCTTGTTGCGTCTGTGATATGTCCAAACTGAGAGGTTGCACACACCACAAAAGGGACCATGATATCTTGCATTTCCTTTGCCATGGCTTGGCTGCATATCCATGGTGAGTTTTATCCCATTGTGGATAAAGAGAGCATAGCTTGTACATTCAGCTTTAGAAAAAAAACAAACACCCTGTATTCTTTGAAAGTGGTGCTGATGAAAGTTTGAGTGTATAACTAGCATTGCTAAATATAGTGTGTAGAGTGTTGTTGTTGTTTTTCCCCTTTGATAGTTAGATGGGTTGTAAAATAGTAGAATTTCTGAATTGCATTATTGTAAGCTGTTTTAGGGATCTGTCTAACTCTGGGAAGCTCACCAGAGAGAGCTTAGAGTATGCTGGAAATCTCCTGAAAAAATAAAATATTGGCTGGCAGCTTTATTGCAGTGCCTCCTGTCTTTGGAGGAGCAGCACATTATGTGATACAGAGTGTTTGGTTTTAATAAATGTAATTGGGTGTACTGTAATTTAGAGCTAGATTCTGTGTATAGGCTTATTACTAGAAGTAGTAATGAATTGCTAGGATTACTTAAAAGAGCTGTTGTAATATTTTCATGGTCTATTTTTTAAAAAAATGCTTTTAAGATGTGAATAAAAGAAAATATATATATATTTCCCTGGTTTTCAATTTGATGATGCATAATCATCTTTTCTACTACCTTCTCCTACTGGTGTCTTATGTTTATATTACTTTGTAATATAAAGCTTATGCACTCTACTCTACTCTACACTATAGAGATAGAAGTGGCTTATGCATTTATGTTTCATAGTTGTGTATAACTTTGTTTTAATACCTTCATTTTCTTTAAAAATGTACTGGCTCAGATAGCTGGGAAAAGGATGGGTAGATGTCAATAATTTCATGTAGAGTTGCACCTCCTTTTCACATCCTCTATTTCAGTATGTAGGATCCTTTCCATGATTGATCTGCATTCCCTCTTTTGTGCTTGTCATATAACACTATATTCTTTGCTATTTATTAGTATTCCAAAGTAGGCAAGTCCTGAATTTATAATGATGCTTTAAAAACCCAAAGAAAAAGCATCCCTCCATCCCCAAACTGGTAGGAGGAAAAAAAAATGCTCAAGCTTTAGTTGTATCTAATAAAAGGGCTAGGGAAAAAATAATCCTTCAAAACACATCCCGGGCTTTCCTAATTTTGTGATCTTCAGTTGTTTTGGATTGCAACTCTTAATATTTCCAGCCCTGTTTTATAGCTATAAGGGGATGATAGGAATTGTAATCTGGATGGCATCAAGTTTGGAAAGTCAAACATGTCTATTCTGAATGCAATCAAGAATGAGCTAACGAAGACTTAATGAAATAAATGATTTAGTTATGACTAATGTTTGAAAGATTGCAAAACTGCAACCAGAATCATGTCAAGGATTGTGTCTCCACTGATCACAGACAACAGCCTTATCAATACTACGTTTAATTTAATCAGCGGTCTACTGACTTGACATGTTCAAAAAAATCACTGTTGAAAAAATGTGAGCAGCCAAATGATTTGTTTTATACAGTAATCTGAATATGGGAATTCTCTCAGATTGTAATGATTTCTTTTTGTTTTGCTTTATAGCCTTGTGTTTAAGAGCTGGCCTAAGAGTAGCCACTGGAAAGTACAAAAAAACGGCTACATGGAATCAGCAGGCCAATGAAATAGGCGATAAAATGCTCCATCACTTCCTTGTTCTGCATTTAGGAATGAAGTCAGCAAGCTAACTAGCAAGGAAATAATGCAGAGGGCTAGCTTTGTTAATCCTTTTGCAGCAAAAACAATGAAGTATCTTGCAACAATCCAATCATTACTGTATATTGTTAAAGCTTTGGTAGATCACAATCCTCTTCATCAGATGCATCATGTTTCTAAGAAAGACATCTCTCTCCTTCTATGCCCCAGTAGACCATGAAATATTTTCTGCGGGTTAGCAATTTTTGTCATCTTATTTATAAAGCAGTAATGAACATAACTTCCAACATAGTCACGTGAAATGTATTGAAAGCCACATTTAAGTTCCACTGGATCTTTTCATAGGACTATCCTATAACACCGGAAAACATGTACAGGAAAATGTCACAGTGAAGGAACTACATTGACTCAAGATTGACTCAGCCTTCCATCCTTCTGAGGTGGATAAAATGAGGATCCAGATTGTTGGGGGCAATAGGCTGACTCTGTAAACCGCTTAGAGGGCTGTAAAAGCACTGTAAAACAGTATATGAGTCTCAGAGCTGTTGCTATTGCTACATATGGAACTACAGGTTGTTAACTTAAGTTTCAATTACAACGGACCCATGAAAAATATTATCAGATATATTTCCTCTTCACCAAAATTGCTACATCTTAATGCTGTAACTCCAGAAAGGTTCATTATGATGACGCAAGGTATTTTCTCCCTTTAGTTATAAATTATAGTGTGGCATTTCTTTTTTTAAAAAAAATAATAAAGGCGAACTGCTATTAATTATTACTGATACATCACACTGACATTAACAACAGCATCTTAAAATGCACACATTTAACAAGGTCTCCCAACCAAAATAATAAAACCACTTTTCAGTTTCAAATCTAACAAAATATTGCCAGGTTGCAGTGAACCAGAAATCCCAGCCTGCACATCAAAGTCATGTTAGCTGTTTAACGTTTTGAACAAAGATGTTTGATATTGAAAACAGCTCATTGGGACAATCATTCCTTTATGGATTCCGAAGAAGCATTAATAAGTATCTTATATGTTTCCACATCATAATCCATGATGCATCCATCTCAGTTTCTGACAACTCCATAGTTGAAATAGCTACATTTTGGGAAAAATAATCTTTGACTTACCATTAGGCTAGCTATAGAAAAAATAGGGGACCATCTTCCAATGGGGTGGGGGGAATGACATTCTAAACATTCAAGTAAATTTGATCATTTAAAAATATACATTTCTGACAAATAAAGTTGCACTCATTAAGTGCCAACTGATGATGACGTACTCATTTAAAAAAAAAAATCTAGGATCTTATGTTATATAAATTGCATGATTATTCCCCATTACAGGTAGTTGTCAACTTACACAGTTCGTTTAGTGACTGGTTACAATGGCACTGAATAAAATGACTGATGACCATTTTTCATACTTATGACTGTTGCAGATTCCCCATGATCATGTGATCAAAATTCAGAGGCTCGGCAACTGACTCGTATTTATGACGGTTGCGGTGTCCCAGGATCATGTGATCACCTTTTGTGACCTTCTGACAAGCAAAGTCAATGGGGATGCCAGATTTGTTTAACAATCGCATTACTAACTTTAACAACGTCAGTGATTCATTTAACAACCGTGACAAGAAAGGTCGTAAAATGGGGCAAAACTGACTTAACTGTGTCACTTAGCAACAGAAATTGTGGGTTCAGTTGTTGTCATAAGTCAAGGACTACTTGTATACAGTTTTTAATTTATCCTTACTTTTTAATTGCATATGTTTATTAAAACAGCTGTGGCTAAGTTCTTTTTCTAAGCCTGATATAACACAAGAGAAACAAGAGTTTGTCATATAGCCATTTCATAGCAGAAATGAGAGGACAAGAATGAATGCTTCAATGCTTGCAGAATGGATTTCAGAAAGGGTTCTTGGGTTACAAATAGAACAGTCCTAATCAACATATAAAAAATGCAATTCAACAGGCCCTTTCCTTTTTAATTCTTTTTCAAAGGAGTTCCCCTAAAAACAGCCTGGAGGATGGTCAAAGAAAGAAAAAAATCATATTGTTTCCCCCACCTTCTTGAGTTTCCCCAGTCATTTGCAGCCACTTCAAAAATCTCCAGCTAGGTTAACACTTTTTGGCAGTGGTGAAATCCAATTTTTTTTTACTACCGGTTCTGTGGGCATGGCTTGGTGGGCATGGTGTGGCTTGGTGGGCATGGCAGGGGAAAGATACTGCAAAATCCCCATTCCCATCCCACTCTGGGGCCAGCCAGAGGTGGCATTTGCCGGTTCTCCGAACTACTCAAAATCTCCGCTACCAGTTCTCCAGAACCTGTCAGAACCTGCAGGATTTCACCCCTGCTCTTTGGAAAATGGTTGCAAAGGAAGAAAAAAAAATAGGTGCTAGTGTCTCTATTGGTCCCAATAAATAATTTTCTGCCAAATCAACACAATTCAAGATGTCATCAGATTTTGCCCCAAAACTGAAGACGTAAGTAAACTCTTAAAGGATTTCTTATTTTCCTTTGTTAATTTTTGATTAAAACGTTTAAAGGCAATCCGTTTTGAAAAATATAAAACTCTAATGCAGTTTTTTTTCCTATTTTTCCATGTGGGATTTTTGTATAGATATTTCTATTTATCACTATCTTGGGCTTTTAGACATTTTACTTCTAGATAAAAAAAAGAGGAATCTACTGTTGGCAAAAAAAAAAAATCATTAAAAATTAAGCAATTAGAATAATGTTTTCGTTAAAAAAAATACAGAGTAGTACCAAAGCTGGAACCGTAAAGCAAAGCCACATCAGAGTGACTGAAAAATTATCAGAACAGAGCCTACTTTTCAGGTCTGACAAACAATATTTCATCACTCATGGCTTATCTACTTTTTGTTTTCCTCCAGCTAGCTATTTATATGACTTAGTTTCTCAGAAGTGAAACCGGCAGAGACATTAAACTCTATATTCAGCAACAGAGATATCTACATTTAAAACAAAACTCATTTTTTTCAAATTGTAATTTTATAAATCTCTATATAGTTCTCAGTGATGAAAGACGGATGATTTGAGAACGGACAGTTGATGTTTATGGGGTTTTTTTTAAGTCTTGCTGTTTTAATGTAGCCATTATTAAAGTGATGTCACCATCCCTTTTGGGCTCAATTTTTGTTTTGTCTTACTTAGCATGAGTGTGTGTTGTTTTGCCTTCGAGTCACTGGTGATTCTTAGTGACACCAGTGGGCTCATTCCTGCAGTTTTCTTGGCAAGGTTTTAGAAGTGGTTTGCCATTGCATGCTTCCAAGGGCTGAGTAGATGTGACTGGCCCAAGGTTACCCAGCTGTCTTTGTGCCTAAGGTAGACTAGAACTCACGATCTCCCAGTTTCTAACCTGATGCCGTAAACCACTACACCAAATTAGCCCTCTATTCCCTGGCCCCGTGAAACAATAGAAAATTGAAAGAATCAATAGCAATTATTTTGCTAAGCAGGAATATGCTGATAATGGAATATCTATATCAGAACATGCAACCCAAGCTGGATTATTAAAACTGTTAGGGTTGATTTGGACATAGCCTATTTATATATTCCATATGCATATATGTGTTATCATTTAGCATTATAAAAATGAGTACCCTTAGCTCATGGACAGCTTCATCTTCCAGATGTGCTGTTAGGTCAGTTAAAAGAAGTATGTATGTGTATGTATGTGTGTGTGTGTATGTGTGTGTGTATATATATATATATATATATATCCCAACTGACTGATTGGTGGAGGATAATAGCATGACTGCTAACTGACATCAGAATGACATTCAGAGAGACACATCAGCTCACTATCCTTTTGCATAATGCTCGACTAGAGACTGTGTCTTTTATGCTGGAATTGGGAAATGACTAGGGACAAGGAAAAGGCTGTTTTTGTTCGTTTGTTCTTGCTTAGTTTATTGACTGTCTGATTTAGCTAGCAAAGTACCTTTACCCTTTCTCTTTCCAGTTCAGATGAACACATTATATCAGGGCCAGTTAATCAGTAAACTTTTCCTGCAAATCCCACATAAGCTACATAAAATACTGCCAGAGATCAAATGAGGACATAGACTAAAGGCTTTGTACCTACCTCACAACTTTCCTTATAACGCAGCAGCTAAAAACTGCTCGGTGTTTTTGAAAGAAGGGAAGAGCAAAGAGAGAATATAGATAGAAAGGTTTATATGCACACCTCTTTTATTTCCTTGGCTTGGCTTTAAATATTAAGTATGATCATTTTGCTCTTTAAACATGATAGGTTAAATATTTAGCACTTCTGTCTTTTAGATTATGTTCTAGGTTGTGGTGGTACAGTCCTCAATTGAAAGAAAGATCTTAGTCACTTTTGTCTTTAACTGAAAGTGGCGTTGGTAGCCATCTCTTAAATTATGAAGTGACCATTTTTTAAATTAAAAAAAAAACTCATTAGAAAGGTATGTCTGAAACTTCATTATCCCTGAACTAGGCTAGATGAACGGCTATAGTATAAGAGTGTAAATGTAGAAGATGCTCTGGAGCAGCGTCTCCCAATCTTGGCAACTTTAAGATGCATGAACTTCAACTCCCAAAATTCCCTGGCTGACTAGGGAATTCTGGGAGTTGAAGTCCATGCGTCTTAAAAGTTTGCCAAGGTTAGGAAATCTTGCTCTAGAGCAGTGATGGCGAACCTTTTTCATGCCGAGCACCCAAAGTGCACGCACCCCAAAATGCAATGCGAGCACACCCCACGCACATGCACCCCACCTCCCCTTGCCCATTTTCGGCTTCCAGGTTGGTGCAGGAGGCCTTCCAGGCCCAAAACAAGGTGCAAGGGTGCACGCACATACGCGCAAACCCCCAAAATGCAATTCGAGCGCCCCCTGCACATGCACCCCACCCACCCGTCCATGTGCATGCGCGTCCCTCTCATGCACCCCATCCCCCACACATGCTCAGCAAAGACCCGAAGACCAGCTGGCCAGCAAGAGGCATGGTGGAGCTGGGCTTGGGTGACAGCTGGCATGCCCACCGAGAAGGCTCTGAGTGTCACCTGTGGCACACATGCCGTAGGTTCACCATCACAGCTCTAGAGTGTTTTTAATCATGGTCACTATTAGATCTCTACACTGAAAGATATGGATTTGCCTTTCTCTTTGTCCATGAGTATATTCAGAATTCTACAAAAAAAAATGCTTTGTTTTGGAAACTTTAGTAATAACTTCTGCCATTTTGATGACAAATCTATAAGAACGAGAATTGAACCAAGCTCT